CTAGCATCTGTATCTCAGTTTCACTCAATCCTGCCAGCCAGCAACGATGTAAGCCTGGGTATGAAAATTCTAGCCAAAAGAAAGGCAAACAAAGCTAGACAGAAACCCAATCAGTCTGCACCCTCAACCAGTGTACAGTATTCACCATACACATACACACACCATTTTTTAATGGTTTCCTGGAGACTGGAAGATAGCTAGGATAGTTATTCTGGGTCCTGCTCTGCCGAACCTAAGAATCCTGATTTGAGTGCTTCATTCTAATAAAAAAAAGTGCTTCATTCTAGTAAAAAAGCACAAAAAATAAAGGATAAAACAAAAAAGAATTAAAAACATGAAAACCAAAGACCAAGAACATTTGGAAGAAAAAAAAATGAGAGAAGAAAAAAAAATGTTAAGACAGCACTTGGCAGAGGAATGCTGCTTCATAAAATTGAGGGGTTGGCAACAGCAGGATGGTTTGAAACTGATGTCCCCACCTCCACCAGAGAGGAGTGTGGCCACATAGTGGCTTTGCAGAGGCTCCTGGTTGTCAAGCACGAAGGGCAGGGCTGGGGAAGTCACACAGAATCTTGCTCTCAAAGACTTTGTCCTTTTTGTCCTTCTCCTGCTTACTGATCTATCATTCCATGGGCTGGCTGAAGTGGAAGAACCAGGGAGCCACCTTCTCAAAGGACTTGTCCTTTATTCCTAAATATTCAAGTCTTTAAAAGTAAAAACCTTTGGGGCGGGGGTGGTGGTAGGCAGGCAGCGGGGATAGGAGAGGCAGGCCGTGTTTAGTGAAAAAACAGTATTGATGCTGGCTGCTTTTCAGTCATTCAGGTAATAACTGACAATTTGGTGAAAAGATGGAGCTAATCTTTTAGTAATCATTACACTGCTACGTGGGAGAGAAACAACTTGACAAAAGTCACCGTGTTCATTATTAATCTGTTCACATTCAAGGAAATGAAAAATAAAATCCCAATGGCGCCTCACTGCGCAAGCAAGAACTGTGCCCTTCTCCCCTGTGCTACCACAGAAGTTTGTGGGTTGCTACGAGATTATAGAGGCACTTTGGGGGTTAATGAAGTCTTTATGGATGAGGTCCTTTTTAAAATTTGGTCTTGAAGAGTATTTGAGAAACAGAAATAATTAAGCACAGGTGGAGTTGGTGAGGACACAAGAGGTGCGCCAGTAACAGATGGCAAAATCAAAAAAGTAGGTCGGTAGCACAGTGGGCTTTAGGTGACAGACTCAAGAGAACTTCTTAAAAAATGAAAGAGGGCCTCCTTGATGGCGCAGGGGTTAAAGACAGCGCTATCAAGTTATCCCCAGCCACTGCAGCACAAGTTCGATCCCTGGACGGCCAGGGAGTTACCCACATGGTGCCGGAGACCTCTCTTCACCCCCTGCTCCCTCAGCAGTGTATTTCAGTCAGTCTGCCTGTTCTGCTCCCCACTCTCTTCTAGTGAATCCTCTCACCCCCTGTACCTCTGGCATACACCCCAGTTGTTATATGCATAAATAAATCAATCTTTTTAAAAAAGTGAACAAGATTTGGAGCAAAGAACATTTAAATTAACAAAACTATGTTTTAGCAGAATGGAAAAAGATTAGAAGAGGATAATCAGGGAAATAAGTTAGGAAGCCCAGGTGAATGGGAGGATTGGGGATTGAAAAGAAGTATGATTAATGAGAGTTTGAGGTGGAATAGAACTGATAAAATTGTGACAATTGAGTTATAAGGGATTTCATGATGGAGTGAAAATGATTTCAAGGAAAAAACTAAAATAGCAGTAGAGATGCAAGATGGAAGTTTCATTTTTGGGTGTACTGAGTATGAAGTACCACAGAAATATGTCCTGGGGTTAGAATATGAGTAGACTATATGGATTTGGAGAAAAGCTTCGGCAGTGATGAGACTGGTCAGAGAAAATTGGGCAAGTTCAGAGAATTTTAAGTAGAATTTGAGTAGTATTCATCTGTGATGTGGACACTACCCATCCCACTGCAAAAAGCAGCCAGAGACATAGCACTGAACTGTATTCAGAGTGGCATCAGTGAACAGTTCTTACTGGCAATTAGGAGGTTGTGAACATCCCCCAGGAGAGCATTTTCAGTGACAGCAATGGACGAGCATCAAAATCTTGCAGTGGTTGTCAACAAATGCCAACCTACTGGATTTGAACAGGAAATGGGGAAATATTTGTAACATTCTACTCTCCCCAGAAAATTCTTTATAGACTAGTACTTGAATGAAAGATGAGGAGGAGGAGAAGCAGGAGTAGAGATGGTCCTAAGAGGCTGGTCTGGAAGGTCAAAAAATATAAAGATAAGCAGATAAGGGCATCAAGATTATGAATAGAGCAGCTCTGAGAAGACAGTCCTTCCCTCTCATATGCAATCACTGGGAAAACCCCCCAAAAGGCAGTCATGTTCTTAAGGAAATAAGGTGTGACATGGCCAGATTATAACCAGCTGTCCTTTTAAGAAGGTATCTGTGGTAAGGGAAGGATGAATAACATGGCCCAATTCTATTTGAAGTTTCATGTACAAGTTTCTTTTTGACATCTCTCTTCCTTTAGTACATACCCCAAAGTAAATTTAGCAAAGTTGTGAGTGGGTATTACCACACCATTGAGCACAGACCAGGAAAATAATGTACAGGGTCAGGAAGTCCATCTCATTTGCTGAAGCTGCCAGGCCCTGGCAAGTCTGGCTGCAGGCTGTGTTTTTACATCCTATGTTTGAAATGTTTTATAGTAATGAAAAAGAAAGTTTGTATTTTATTTGCAAAGCCAATTTTTTTAGGTTGTAATTCATTTTTCTGCCCAGAGTCTCTTGGGCAAAATAGTACATTTATAACATGATAGCTGGGGTAGAAGGAGTGTCCATTAAAGTAAACAATCTATTGTTTTCCTCTTTCTTAAGGTATTTTTCAGTCACATTCTATTAAACAGTAGCGAAAAGGAGGCAATACAAGAAATGGCAAATACCCTGAATAATGAATTACTAAGCAAGTGACAGCACTAGACTGGACAGCCAATTACTTTTTCTCCTAAAATATTTACGAGAGTAAAAGTTTGTTAAAAGTTTACTTGACGTGAATTCCAATAAGTACATCCAATTACCATTTAAAATTTATACAGACATGATTAGAATCGTAGAACTTCAACGCTGTAGTGATAATAAAACTTGAGAACTTAAAAGCACAAATTTCTTCACGAATTTATTGTATAAAATGCCCCAGAATGCTTGATTTCTCTTCTCACTTTCATTATACATAAGAAGCACACGAATGAGAGGCCCTTTAAGATGACTGTAGCGGCATGAGGTGCCCTGGCATGAAGGTGTACATACCTTAACAGTGTTCTAAAGGCTGGCCCAGAAAACCCCCATGTTACTTTATCACAATATGCAAAGCAATGTCTTCTTTTTCCACTAAATTATGATGAAAAACATCACTCTTTTATTTAGCATTATAGTACATAACAGTTCTATCTCAATTGCTAAAAGAATTTAAATAATCTTGAAAGACATCCTTTTCCCCTCCAATGATTTGAAAGCTGTATTTTTCCTGCCAATTTCAAACAAATCATCAGGCTGATCTGTCACAGTCAGTTAAAACAATCATCAAGGCACAAGCTCAGCATATCGCTGTAGCTTGTAGTAAAAGGATATAACAATGTCTCTCCTTAGTTAAAAATACATAATCCTTTTATTTTATATTGCAATAAAAGAAATTAACATCACAGACACAGAAGACTACAAAGGGGAGACTACTTACTTCTGAATGTCCAGTAATTTAAACCTATTTATACTTTTCCATAGGACACGAAAGCAATATTTAACACTTACTTTTTGAAGTAAAATGTAATCTTTGGGAATATACAATGTAAATAGGTTTTAAGAGTAATAGTTCCATTCATTTCCAGGTCTGTTACTACTGTATGATTAAGTAAAACAAGGCACAGTAGTCATCCTTTCATTATGTTGCAACACTGATCATGTGCCTTGATAAAATGGCTGATTAGACAAGATGATGGCAACAAGAAGGGAAAACTTTGGATTGTCTATTTAAAATGCAGGTAACAATTAAAAATTTATTTTAAGTGCACTTTCACATGCTTTGTGTTTATAATAAACAACAAACTTCCTAACTTTCTTGCAACAGGCTTGACTACCATTTCATTTGGCCAAATGCACTTTTCCCCAGTAAACTTAAAACAACAACAACAACAACAACAACAACAAACAACAACAACAACAAAAGATCCCTGTCCTTTCATATACTAAGAAAGAGGATTGGCTACTGAAACAGTTCATTGCAAGACACATGAAGACAACATACTGTGGCATGAGTTGTTTTTAATTTGTTGTGCTGTTAACTAAAGGAAAGTTCTGAGGGCTGCAGTTAAACATTCCAAGTTCTCCCTTCCATCTTTATTGATTCTCAAGATTTTGCACAGAAACTCTTTGGGGACTAGAACAGCAGCAATTGCATCACACTGTTTTCAAGACTTCAAGTTTCAAAAGCAAATTAAAAAAAAAAAAAATACAGTTCCTGATTTGAGTTAGATACAGGGACAAAAAATAGCACATACTTGACGGTTACATGGTCTACAAATGGTGGCAATATATTCCTTGGGAGAGTAGTTTTGTTGGTATATATATTTTTAAATACTCAAAAAGGCTCAACCTCAAGCAGTAATAAACACAAGCAAAAGTGATTTAACCCTTAAAATAAATATTCAGAAAAACCTCTCTGTACATACAAGTGAAAGAATAAGTAACACTTTCACGCAAAAAAAAAAAAAATAATAATAATAATAAAGGATTTGTTCATATAAGTAGCTGAAATCTGCTGTTCCAGCCCACATATCCCCAATGAAGAAGGGAGGCACAGACAGAGGTGACTACTGTGGTTCACTATCTTACAGCCTTTTTGTAATGGGACACTATCACCACCAATGTTTATCCCTCTTGTTATATTTATTAAATTTTTAAATTTTTTTCTTTTCTTTTTGCATTTTTTTTTTCCTTTTTTTTTTTTTTTTTTACAGCATGCCAAATCCTTTGGCATAAGTGATGGCCTTCAACAATCTCTCTTTAAGTTTTTCTTTGCTTGAATATTCCGGAAGTAAAAGGACATTAAAGCAAGTATGAGATGTAGGTAACCTAAATAGAGAGAAAGGGGAAAAACAGGAAAATAAGTCATGGGAAAAACATGCTTAGTAGTAAATGATCCTACTTTTAGATGGTGCACATACAGTGGGGATGGTTTATAACACTGACTACAATTTAATGCAAATCACAAGCGCTTTGTTTTTGCTGTGTTATCAGTTTGTTCTTCTTATTAACTACTTAGTGCTAATGATGCATCCACTGAATTATTATTACTACATGCCAGAAACTGTTTTAGGTACTTAAGCCTTGTAATTGAAACTCAATTTCCTCACCACAAATGGACAGAGTGGTTATCAGTATCCCCATTATAGAGTTGAAGTCACTGAGAAGTTAAGAAACTTACTCTAAAGGTATAAAGATAATATTCAAACCTGATTTTCAAGATTTGAAAGTCTATACTCTTTAATACTGATTAGAAATAATGCTGGCAATAATACCGTATAAATGATTAGATAACATATAAATAAATCTACATCAATACCATTGTAAACCAAATAATATAGAATACTGATAGAAACAGCTCTATACATTTAAACCATTAAATATGCTACTGTTCACATATGGTCCCTAACTCACCAAAAATAGTAACTTACACAATGGGAAAGAACACAAAATAAACGTCAAGATTACAAAATTGGGGATTCAAGGGTAATCTTAGTGCTACACAGATAATCTCCTGAGCCTCAACAAAAATACTAAGATTACATAATAGAGCTTTCAATTAAAATATTCTGAATCAAAATCCAAATGAATCATATCAATTTGAAAAATTCTAAACCAAGTGAGCCTCATAATAATTTTTAACTAGGCCAGTTTTCATAAAATTTCCTGAAACAACAGCAAGATATTCTCTGAACTAACATTTCAATGATTTATAGATTTCTACATAAAATCATAAAGGTGTTCAGAAGCTAGAGGATAGGTCATGTGTGTGTGATATGGAATGAAAGGTTTAATTATGTAGTCACAATAATTACCTTTCTGTGTCTGGGCCATTTTTGGCTATAATCATCTTTAATTTTCCTAGTCCACCCACAGGTGCTCTGTCTGTGCCCGTTGTAAACTGCAAGAAGAGTCTTTTCTGCTCATCTGTAAATGAATGAACGATTTCCCAGAACTCCCTAATGAGAAAAGATTTATTATTAGTCTTAGTTTGGAATTCACTGTAACTAGCACTAATGCATGTTTATGATTTGTACTAAAACCACATCAGGAGACATCTGGTAATATCAGAAACCCTAATGATTCGTTCCTGGTAATTTAGGTTCTAGGAATTCCACTTGCAAATTTATATTAAGGAAACAGTTTTAAAAATGCACATATAATTCATCATTATATTATTTACAGCAGTAAAAACTGGTAAACTTAATTCTTCAACAGAAACTAATAAGAAAAACTATGATAAATCACAATGTATCATTGGTAACAAAAGGCAAAAACAAAAAACATGAATTGAAAATTGCTGGAAGGAAACTCTGCAAAATTAACTCCAGATATCTTCATATATACAGTTTATTTGCCGCTTTTTGTCAATTCATATTATATTCAACTTTGGGGGGAGGGGGAAGGTGCTACATATATAAAGGAAAGAAGAAAAAGAAACAGCAATCACCCACACATCTGACAGTAGTAAAACAAAAGTATATAATTTTTATAGGAGACTATAACGTTTCTATCAACAGCCTGTGTTCTATGAAAGTGAGAATGGGGAATCTTTCTGGTATGTCTGTTATTTACATCATTTTATTGACTTAAATTATCATTTATTGATTGTGAATAAGCCATTTTAAGAGAATGACTTAAACCCTGATATTCCTAAAACCTATGTGAAACATTGTTACTGCATTGAAGGTCATTATATATTCATCCTAAAAGCAAAATACCACTTACCACTTCACTTAGAGCAATCTTAGAATACTAGTTTGAATAATAAAGTATCTATAAGTTAAGCCTAAACACTAATTCTCAGTTAAAAAAATTTCCAGAATTTAGAAAACAACCAAAAGCTTTAGTGGTTACAGAATGCATTCTAATATTTATTTGAAAAAATTCTCTCCAGAACTTTGGCACAAAACAACATAATTTCTGCATCTGTTATCATAATTCCAGTTTTTGACATTCTAGTGTTCTAGTATATAATTTTATTACCAAAATGTTGCCATGTTTGTTGGTACAGTGCTATTATTTCTGACAGAGGTTAGCAGCTTTATTAGACATCTTGGCTTTCTCCAATGCTTTTTCCACTTCCCTCCCCTGAAGTTTAACATCTTCCCCATCCCTCAGTTTCTGTAAATCTCCCATCCAGAGGGAGCAAACAATAAGGAAATACTTAACAGGAAAATGGACATAAAACTTGCAGGAGCATATTGTTTAGGAAGGAGAAAAATCATATCACAATTTAGGTCATTGTTTTGGGGTAACCCGACAAGGAAAAGCAGTAGCCCAGAGCCCTGTCAGGGCAAAAAAGTTGCCCTGCAAGGGGCTTGATTAAGCCTCTTCATGGTGCAGGAATGCTCAGAAGCCTAACTGAGCAAGCCACACCTGAAGAGACAGATCAGAGAGAGAAAGGTCTAAAAACATAAAGCCCACACCCCTTTGGTTAATTAAATCTTCCTAGTAAGAATCAAGCAACTCGGGCCTCCCTGGTGGCTCAGGGTGGTTGAGTGCAGCGCTATGAAGCTGTCCGCAGCCTTTGTAGTGCCGGTTTGATCCCCGCCGGCCTCGGAGCAACCCACATGGCGCAGCAGACCTCTCCTGTTTGTCGCGCCCGCTGCTCCCCTCAGCAGTGTATTTCGTCAGTCTGCCTGTTCTGTTCCCCACTGTCTCTGGTGAATCCTCTCACCCTCCCGCACATCTGGCCTGTACCCCAGTTCTTATATAAATAAAATAAATCTTTAAAAAAAAAAAAAGAATTAAGCACCTCACCTAATCAGAACAGAGTCCCTGGTATAGCCACCATCATATTCTGTAGTTTCTTCTAGAGCCTGGAAATCTAGATTCTGCAAATTCAAGAAAATATATCTTAACATCTTCTATATCACATCATAACAAACAATAAATTAACTAATTGATATTTTTATAAACATGATATTTTTACAGACACTCGCTTTCTTACCCGGCTTCCACATATAAGAAGTTCAATTTCCTCTGGTCTGAATAGGTACTTCAAAGGAGATTCATTGGTCACCATATGAAAACCTCTCCGAAAAGCCTTAAACTGTTTTTCCACTGACTTATTAAGAATGTAGTCAGAATAGAGATTGACAAATTCCTGCAGAAAACAATACCCACAAGAACGTCTTATAACATGCTATACAATGAAACACAACAGCTAGTCAGCTGTACTTTTTTTTATTTTCCCAAAGAAAAACATTTCAGAATATTGTTAAAACTTCAATCGTAACACATGCAGAGGGAATTATCTTTAATTTCATAATCTGTGATGGCAAATATTAAACTGCAAGCAGGCCATGCAAATAAACAAATAAATAATCCATATAAATTTCAATTTTGATAGTAAACAAGGCTGAGTATAAAAGCCAGGTCTCAATACAATCCTGAGGTTGCCTCAACTAGTGTCCTAAGGAGACCGTTAAGTCATGTATACTACTATTTATAAAAGCTAACATTAGAAATAGAGTGGAACATAATGGCATTTAGTAAACCAGAAAGTCTTAAGCTTTTAGACTATTTGGGAAGCTAACTACTATATCCAGACTGGGAAAAAATGCTGCTGTTTTGCATAATACATAAGTATTGTACCAAATCAGAAGACGAAAATGTACTTTGTATCCTAACCTTATGAATATAACATTTTATCAAAAATTATATTAATATAAACATGTTTATAAAGGTTGATGACAAATTAATCATAAGTTCTGGATTATTCCCTTTTTCAAATGTGTATTTTTCTGGTCAATAGAAAACACAAGTCTGATATAATGACTACGTTTTGAGGTATATTTAAGTCATATATATGTGTGTGTACATTGAATGCAATTACCATTTATTTGGTGATAAGGTCACTGTTTTCCTGCCCTTTAACAGCCCTATGAGAAACACCCTTGCTTTATATTACTACAGTCACACTGAACCAAGCGCTGCCTCCTACTCTTTCTCTAATAGGAGAGCTTTAGAGAACTGTGTTCTCTCATACCAGCTTATATCCAAGATTTGGAAAACTGTGTCTATTTCTTTTACATGAACTTGGTTACCTGATTTCTTGGGTCTCCTTATGAACTATATTAGATACATCTTTAAGAACTATAAGCAGGTATTCTTTGAAATTCTGTTAACACTAACACTGTTAATAAAGAGACAAAGACAATGACAATATAAAAACATTTATTACCTTCCTGTTTTCATTTGTAATTGGAATTTTATCACCATTTTCCTTTAGATCATACATCATTGGATTACCAAAAAGATCTGTTTGTGATATCTGGAAAGTGATCATCATATCATCTTCCACATTCCCTTCATATTCCAATAAATCTTTTAAACTCTGATATAGAACCTAACAACCAGAAATAGAAAATTTGAGGCTACCATGTAACTGCAAAAGATGACAAGTAGTTTGTATCACTCTTCTTTGAAGAGGGCAAAATGCTGACAATAAGGATTCAAGCACAAATAGTGTCCCTCCTGGTCCCCAGCAACTCCTGTCCCCCAAATAATTTACAATATAGACACTAAGAAAGATGGTCAGTCACCGATGACACCCCATTCTACCATTTTATAATGGTTTTCACATTGTGCTTTATGAGAACCTCACAAGTGGATCCACAAGGAGGGATCAGCAGAGTAATGAACACACCTGATGCAGCCCCAAGTCCCTCATTCAGGGCGGCTGTGAGTTCACTTGGCCATCTCAGATGATTTCATTAAAAATAAGCCAGAAAGAGGGGCCTCCCCGGTGGCGCAGCGGTTGAGTGCTGGGTTGCGAAGCTGCCCGCAGCCTCTGCAGCGCCGGTTCGATCCCCGGCTGTCCCCGGCCACCAGAGGAGGGTCCCACATGGCGCGCAGACCTCTCCTGCCGCCCGCTGCTCCCCTCAGCAGTGTACTTCGGTCCTTCTGCCTGCTCTGCTCCCCGCTCTGGCTCTGGTGAATTCTCTCGCCCTCCCGCACTTCTGACTGTACCCAGTGCTTGTATAAATAAATTAAAAAAAAAAAAAAAAAATAAGCCAGAAAGAAAGGGACCAGGAAAATGAATATAAGAAAGTGAAAATCAAAATCAACAAAAAACTATGAACCAGAGACACTTTTTGGTGGGTGGGGGTCGGGAAGGGAAGGATTGGGATCAGAATGGGGCTTTTGCAATTGTATGGGGGAATATAAAAATAAAATTTATTATTTAAAAAAAAAAAAAGCCAGAAAGAAAAAGAAAAATACCAGATGGTCTCACTCATAGCAGGAATCTAGAAAACTTAAATAAGGGACCAGGAAAATGAATAACTATAAGAAAGTGAAAATCAAAATCAACAAAAAACTATGAAGCAGAGACACTTTTTGGGGGTGGGGGGCGGGAGGGGAGGGATTGGGTCAGAATGGGGGGGTTGCAATTGTATGGGGAATATAAAAATAAAAATTAAAAAAAAAAAAAAAAAAAAGCAAAATGCTTGAAGACACTTTTGAAGAATCCAGCTTAGAAAACCTGTTTGCTGACAACAGTATGTAAAAATTTCCCCTTTAAGTTTTTAAGTGTTCATGGTTCTTCAGACAGATTTAAACAATTTTATCTTACTGGGTATAAATAGTAACAAAGACTCTAAATCAAAGCTTTAATTCTTACATAAATCAAACTATATTTTTCTTTAAAAAAAAATCTAAAAGATCAAATAAAATATGACAAAGACTTACAGGATGAGAGTCTCCCAAGTCACGAAAAGTTCCTTTTTTCCCCATTAGCTTCCTGTAGACAACCATGGGAAAATGTACATCCAGTATACAGTTATTGTAAATAGCCAGACCCAGTACTATGCCGATCAGAGTAAACTGACCCTCAGTTTCAAACGAAGATGGATTAAACCAAAATAATTTTGTAGCTTCATCATATGTGAACATACCTATAAGAAATGATTTTAAAAAATATATTAATTTTGTATTTTATTAAAAGATAAAGACATAAATTTATACAAACAAGGTGTAAACCTTCTTTCTTACTGCATCAGCACTTGAGAATCCAAAATTCTAATACATAGGATTGTTAAAACATGGGAAATAGTAGCATATGATTTTGAGAAGCCAAGGAACCCATTAATAAGCAATTTTGGTAGCATTTTCCAAGGAGTTAAAAAAAACAAAAAACTTCATTAAATTCAATTTTTCTGATCTTTTATCAACAGAAATGAAAAATTAGTGTTCATACTTTAGTCACTGTATGGTTGAGAAATAAATGTAAAACAGGGGGAAAAGGCCATACTTTGAAAAGGTTTCACTTCTAAAAACATGTAATCTACACATACTGTTTTAAATAATTTTGTATTTCATTAAGGAAAAGCTTTTGTGTTTTTCAAAACTACACAACGGTTCCATGAAGTTTTTCTAACAAAGTCAGTCAAGTACATGAACTTAAATAAATTTGATAAATTCAAATTACTATACACACACACACACACACACACGCCCTTCTTTCACTTTCATGTGATCTTCACAAAACCCAAAACTGGGTTTATATCATTCATTTAAAATTAGGAACTGGGCCTCCTTGGTGGCACAGTGGTTGAGCACTGGGCTGCAAAGCTGCCTGCAGCCTCTGCAGCACTGGTTGGATCGCCGGCCACCAGCGAGGATCCCACATAGTGCGCAGACCTCTCCTGCCTCCCGCTGCTCCCCTCAGCAGTGTACTTCGTCAGTCTGCCTGTTCTGCTCCCCATTCTAGCTCTGGTGAATTCTCTCACCCTCCCGCGCTTCTGACTGTACCCAGTACTTGTATAAATAAATAAATCGTTTAAAAAAATAAAAAATAAAATTAGGAATCTTTGTTTTTGCCTATCTGAATAACCATTACTAAGGTAGAATTATAACCTTTTCCTTAGCTAGATTTCTAAGAAAAAAGACTAAATGGTGTTTGAATCGCATTTACTTCCTTTTTCTCATTTTACTAAAAAGTTTTCAGTTGCTACTGTGAAACTAAATGAACAACTTTAAGAACTAGGTCTGAAAGGAAATTCCCAATAAATTTTAGAAATCAATATAGTTCATAAATCAGCTTATAAGAATTTTTTAAAAATTTAAAATGCTTCTTTACTTTTACATTTAATTTAAGTAAAATATATAAAGAACTTTAAAAATGTTTCCTTAATCTTAAGAGCATAAATTAAGTTAGGGTATCTTTCTAATACAATGGAATGTTCATGAAATAATTTTGCAAATTATCCAATTCATACAGGAATTTTAATTTAGATCTAATTTTTTTTTTAAACAAGCCTAAGTTGCAACATCCAATGAAGTGCTAAAAACTTCATTTAATTATAAATACGGTATTAACAGGGTCAAAAAAAGTTGAAAATAATTAAAATTAATTAAAAAATATACTGAAATATCACAAATGCAGTCCTTGGTCTCAAGAGCAACTATAAGCTAATCAGAATATAAATTATATAAGTTACTACTCTCATTTCTGTGCATGAAAGATATTAATTTTGACATCCAGAGAGAATTCATTTTGGGTACTTTTTTTCAGGTCTCTAAGAAAAGCACCAAAAAAAGGTACCTCTTCTAAAATATTCCTTTTTGATATTTTTACTCTCATCATTTCAGTTACTTTGCTTTCAAGTAGAAATGCTTAATACATGTTTTTTTGTTAAGAGTATTTCTGGATATAAAGTCAGTATATTTTACAGCTGATGTTGAACATTTCTAGATATATCAGCACCTAGAACTAAGGTTTACTAAATTTAGGAGGCTTACAGATTAATTTTCTGTCTCTAAGAGAGCATTATGTGTTTGGTTTATTTTAAACAAACCTCTACAACAGAAACAGCCTTCAGATTAATACAGTGGCTAAAATATGTAGCCTTCCTTCACTTTATATCATAAACTCAAAATGTTTGCTTCCAGTTAACATTTATACATTGATATGACCATTAACAGAAAACAATAATAGAAAAGTTAATTCAATGTACATGCTGAGAATCAACAGGCTGTAACAGGTCAATTCTCAAATCTTATGGGAAATGATACACAAAATTTTGGCAGATTCTTTGTAATTCTGATGGTACCTTTTTTTTTTTTATATTTTCTCTTTTTTTTGGATGGTACCTTTCTATACCTGTCTTGTACTCAATTTTAAAAGTAACCAAACCCAGGAACCAAGTGATTATATTATAGAAACAGAACTGCTCAAATCCTTTACTTTCAGACTGACAGAAGTAGGTAAGTCTTTTTCAACTGTTCAATGAAAACTCTTCTGGGAGATAATTATTAGATATGGAGTACAAAAAAGGTCTGGAATTCAAAAAGTCTGGGAAACAACAATATTAAGTCCCAAGGAGTCTTGCAGCAAACAAACCTAATTAATTTGATATCTGTCAGTGTTTCCAAACTTTGAACATAAGACATTTGTGAGATATTCTCAAACATTCTTCAGACCATTGTTCTATGAAAATTTTATTTCAGAAATGCCATGTAATTGATGAATGTTTTAGACAGAATGAGCAAAGACAGCCTTCAACTGCTCTAATATACTATTAGCATTTTCTTTTTTTTATTTCATTTATTTATTTATTTATTTTTTTAAACAGAGGCATGTTTTTATTTATTTATTTATTTGTTTGTTTGTTTTGTTTACACATGCACTGGGTACAGTCAGAAGCGCGGGAGGGTGAGAAAATTCACCAGAGCTAGAGCGGGGAGCAGAGCAGGCAGAAGGACCGAAACACACTGCTGAGGGGAGCAGCGGGCGGCAGGAGAGGTCTGCGCGCCATGTGGGACCCTCCTCCTGTGGCCGGGGAGCAGCCGGGGATCGAACCGGCGCCGCAGAGGCTGCGGGCCGCTTCGCAACCCAGCGCTCAACCGCTGCGCCACTGGGGAGGCCCACTATTAGCATTTTCAATCCTTTATTAAAATACTTGGCCAAATCATCTAAATAAAAACTTGAATAAATGAGTGATGCAAATCAATCCTCCAAATCCACAAATTCAATCATTGTCTGTGATTCTAAGTAATCCATACCCAAACTTTCAGTTGCTGCTCTTCATAAGTCAGAAAATTTACAAATATATATATATGTAAATTAATTCAAAGAGATAATACAATGATCATCACTAAAATATTTACCAATGTCTGGATTGAAGATTTCCTCCACAACCAACTGAAAAAATTCTTTGGAAACACCTCCTTCATCAACTCCTTGTTCTCCTTCAAATTCCACATACAACTGTTTCTTCAAGTCTGCAGGATTTTCCATAGCAATCATCTCTAGCTAGTAAGTGAAAAGATAAAGTGAAAAGAAGATGACTGCCAGTATTAGGATGAAAGCAATACAAAAATAAGAAGAAAAATTAAAACAAGTAATAGGGCTGGGAGCAAAAACAGATTAAGGAAAAATAGGAGCGAAAAGAAAGGGGTATAGAATTGTAAAAAGGTTACTTTCTAACTACTGATTTGTTATGAAATTAACATACAGTGCAGAATTAGATTTTCTGTTACTTATATATAACATACCTGGGCTATAAGGACAGAACACAAAAGAAATCAAGACAGCAAAATGCATGTGACTACTTCAAAGTCAATCATTTTCAGCAAACACAATGAAGTACTTAAGTTTGACATCAAAAATGCTCAGCAGTAATTATTTACTGGATTATATACTGAAGAAATACAGTAAAATAATTTCATTATAAAAAATACATTGGCTACGGAAGTAGCTTATGATCTCTTATAATAGCATTCAGTATAAATTACAAACTTTTAAAAAATTAGAACATCTTATACCCAAAGTTTTTTGAAAGCAGGTAAGACATATGCTTGCTCATATTCTTACTATTAACTTCTAGCAATTATCAAACCCTACCTAGTATTTCTTAACTATAAGCCTTTTATCAAATAAAATTTTGTATCTTAGATCTCACTAAATCTTAATCTCACTAAATCTCACACTGATAAAATCAACATTAGATTCTAATATGAAATATTTACTCTGGGAGTTTTTTATGTATCTGAAATTTACTAACAGTATGGTTGATTGATCATTCAACTTTCAACTAATTTGCTAAATTGACTTTAAGGCCTTCTAGCTGTAAAAAGCAATTTAAAAAAAATTAAAAATTTGCCAAACCAGAACATTTCTAAAGGTGTTCAGGTTGTTGCAACTATTCCAACTAGAATTTTTTAAACTTTTTTTTTTGGGTGGGGGAGCAATTCAAACATTGCTGGAATAAGTATACTATAGTCCTAAAGTAAAATTACATTATGTAACAAGACTAGTTTGAACATTCTAGTGCATAATAATATAAAATCTCATAAATCCATGCATCAGAGCATTTGCACTCAATCAAATGTTTTTCTAACTGCCAAATACAACTCAAAAGTGAGTAGTTTTATCTATCTCATGGTTTGCAACCAACAATGGGGGGATCAGAATGCACTCCACATAGTAGAGGCAACTACTATTTTGTGAAGCTTTTGTTTCAACTGTATGTACAAACAGATCTATGCATGCATGGAGTGGGATCCTAATCATCTCTTACTAGCAGTTGCAGTCAAAGATGTTTTAAGAACAAAAGCCAAAATGATCTCCTGGACACCTTCAATTTTTGGAGTCTATGATTCTGTGAATTTAGAATCTTTAGCTTTAAATATTGTCTGTCCTTATACACAGTGACCTCTAACATTTATATAATCATTTTTTATGCCAAGTTGTATATGAAGAAAATTTATTTTTGAGACATGTTGTTGTAATTCAGTCAGAATAGTCTGTTCTAGTCACAACTGTCATTTAATACAACTTTTAACCTTTAAACTTTAGCAAGCGACTCAATTAAGTTCATTTCCTCTTTGCAAAGAAAAAAAAAGGGATAATACTCTATATACTGCAAAGTTGTAAAGGTTTAATAAGAAACAGAGAGTTCTAGAGTGGGCAATATTATTAAGATAACATATCATATAATTACTTTTAGAACAACTTTATACTTTGAACAAGATATTCACCATCTGATTTTACATATAGCCTAGCCCAAGACTCAAAAATGACCACAGGAAAAAAATAGTTCAATTTGGAAACCTGTTTCTAGCCACAGAATATAAAGACCTCTAAGGACTAAATCGGAGCTTAAATGATGGCTCTTTAGGCCAACATCCTAGTTTTGCAAAAGAAACCATTCCTAGTTTCCTTCTCCCATTTACCACCTGTCTGGTTGTTAAAGAAATGGAAGTTGATGTTTATACATGCCTTTGCGAAACAAAGACTAACCTGCTTATATCATGTATAATGCATTCCATTTATATATATATATATATATATTTACAGATTATTTTCTCTATAGCTCTTATTAACATTTATTAGTGAGAGCTAACTCCCTCTACTTCAATGTGATCTATGGAATTCAAAAGCCCTATGTGCTACTCTTTCAATACCATCTGAGACATTCCAAATGACAATTATTAAAATATTACATGCTTAGACATTCACAGTCACTACTCTCTGCTCCCCACCTTGAATGTCAAAATAACTTAATGCAGTATTTCCTAGAATTGCAACTATAAACTATATGACTTTATCTCTCTCAGTTTTACCTATAAAATGAATATATTGTAATTTCATAAATAATATATTTAATGCGCTTAGATGCATTCTCTGCACAACAAAGACTTATGAGTACTAGCTCTTGCTGTTATCTTTATTTCACTGGCTCTAAAATATTTTTCAGGCTTGCCTAAAAACCTGAAGACCGAGATATTACAGAACAAAAATATTCTAGTAATAACAATAGCAGTGATAAACATGTTAGGGCACTATTCTAAGCATTTTAGATATACCAACTAATTTAGTCTTCATACCAAGATTATACAACCAGTATTATTAACTCCATTTAATAGATAAAGACCCTGAGATAGATAGAGGTTGGAAGTTGATGCTAACTTGCTCAACTCAGGGTTAGTCAATGATAGAACAAAGATTCTAATCCAGCAAGCTTGTAACTACAATGCTTTTCTCTCTCTCCTGATAACTAGCAATAATCTTTTCTAAAATTGATTGATTTTTATTTTCTTCTTTGTTTTCTTGTACTTACTATTTTTACAATAAATATATATGTTTATATATTACTTTCAGAATCAGGATTTATTCAAAAGTAAATAAAAAGAATGATTTGAAAAACAGGTGGCAACTAAATTATACAGGTGAAAATTTCCACTATTTTAGATGATTGTTCTCACAAAGACCTAAGTGGTTCTGTAAAATACTCAATCTTTTATGTACGCATGGGTAGCCTACTCTTCTTAATCGCTAATAATTCTGGTAATAAACATATAAAATGTAATCATTATCATTTTGACAAAGGGACTGCATTTATTTTTTCTTTAAAAACTCACTTCTAATCCATTGTTCAAGCAGAGAGTGATTTAGGAATTATATAGGCATAAAAGCATATCACTATGTAATATATACATACCATTTGAAACTGAATTTTTAAAATCAAAAGTTGTCTTGAATATTTGGAAATTAGAGGAATGTATCAGTGAACATTCTGAAAAGAATTTGTATGTGTATGTAAATTCACTTAGTATATAGACTTAAATTTATGTGTGTGTGTATGTTTTCTTAAAATAGGGTATATTTTATATTAAATTATATGGAGATTTGCAAAAGACAGATTACTGGAGATAAGTAAACAAATATAGACTGGATGTAATGATATCCACCTCTTCTTTATATGTCTTTCTCTTCTTACTAAGACTCTTGAACTCATCAATTGTTGGATAAAGTGATTTTTAATTTCTGAATTTTTAACTGGCCATGGTAATGAAATACTAGAGATCATTTTCTTAAAAAGTGGTCTGATATCAAAGCACTGCCAGATCACCTAAGTAGGATTACACCTCAGTATAAAACAAACAGCCAGGTTTTACAAAAATAAAAGGAAATCCCTATCTTTCAGAATCTTACCCTATTCTGGGCTGTCATTCATGTGAAATCCATCCTTGTTATTAGTTGGAAAAAATCCCTTAAAAATTAACGTAGAGGTAATAATGAGATAAAGTAGACCAAAACTTAATACTTAAGAATACCCAGAATTCATAAGCATGGCTGATTAAAATTACCTTAGTCAACTTATTAGACTCTACGGTTAACACTTTGCTAGGGGATGCATTTAAACCACTGACTAGAATAAGATTTTTAACTTATACATATATATTTAACTTTTTTTAGCTCTCTATAAAAAAGAAATTTTTTTATATCTTAAATATAAAGTTTAGATATTTGGGGTAATGCCAAATCAAGAAAGGGCGTGGCAGTAGTTTTTAAGTGATCTTGAAATATCCATTTGTGGAGAGACAATTTATATTTTATCCTGTTTCATTGACTCTAAAATTCACATTTTTGTTTTTGTACTTTAACAGTTCTGAAACTAAGATATACCGTACAACTGATAGTATCTCACACCTAATTGGAGCATGTCTTTCTTTCTTGGTAGTAATACATCTATCATAGCTTGGGTTCAAAAATCAGGAAACATTAATTCTTCTCTTAATCATCACCAAAGGTAGTTAGTTCCTCTAAAAACTTGTTAGGAAATAATCTGTGACTCTGGTTCAAATTTTATGGTACATGAAAGCAATGGATATATTTTTCCTTTTAGAAAAAAAATCTATAATTATTCAATGTTATTACCTCTCCCTCCAAGAGTCAGTCTTACCTATAATTAACAACTAAAAAATAAGAAGAAAATATACTCAAGAGTGTCACATTTGTAGTCACTGTTTTCTGGGCTTTTATAAACTGATGAATAGATGAACTCCAAGGCTCCTTTTAGTTCTTAAAGTTTAGGATCCTGCAACTTTAAATATTTAATTATTAATATTAAATTTACTGCAAAGTTTCTCATTTCCTCTTTTATTCCCAACCCTATTCTATATTTCAAAATTAGCAGGTTAGAAGTCAGTACTCAACAGATTACTCTGCCAAACTGATACAAAAGGAAAAACAAGGCTTTAAAAAAGCAAAGTAGATCCTTGGGAGATAAGATGTTCAAAATCTATCATTTGTCTTGAGAAATTAACCTGGGAATACGATCTTAAACTACCACTTGTTGTAAACTATACTTTTTGTTACTAACACAACTTATCAAAACCATTACCTGCTACGAATCTTTTAAAAATAAGTAGATTATCAATTTGACTTTTAAGACCCATTTTAATGCTTTTTTTCCCCTAATCTTTTTGCATTGTGTTACTACAAAAAAAAAAAAAAAAAAAAGAGGAAGAAAGTTAAAATTAAAATTTGCTTACATCCTTATACAATCTGCTAGACTATGTAAAAATATGTTATTGGCTGCCCAATGAACATTTAGTAAGTATAATACTACTAATGCAGCTTGAAACTATATAAGCAAAATAAAAAGGACACCAGAAAGCAAGCAATGATAATTACTCAACAGTTAATGCCCCTTTCAATCTCTGTTGAAAAACTGTTTAAGTTGCTTAATTTAATTTTTCCTCAAAAATATATATTCAGTACTTAAAAAAAAACAGTAACAAAGAAAGTAGGCACAGAACCTCTGCAACTTTTAAATTTCTAGGATGGCAATCAATTTTTCCAATGGTTTACAGATTTATGAATTTTCAGATTTAGGCAAATCCATTCTGCAACTAAAATATATTTTAAAATAAATGTCACTATTTCCTAGTCATCTGTGTTAGGGATTCTTATCCCTTAGTAGTATAGAAGGTTGAATATTTTAATTTTAGTTACATTAAGTTTTATTGAAGTTAATAAAAATCAGTAATGATGGGTACATTCAATATTATAAATACAAAGAGATCCTGCAAAAAACAAATGCAAATTTTGGTATGTAAATGACTGGTAATTGGTTTCTGTCTTTTGATCAGGACTGCATTCTTAAGTAGGGGCACTGAAATTCTTATTTTCTGTGAGGGAAGGAATAAACAAAAGGCAGCTCATTTAGAGAAACAGTTCCCAGTATTCTCTCAACTCAATCTCCCTAGCCTGGAATGATGCTACAGACACCACTGATAGCAAGACTGTTAGTATAGTTGCTATTTTTTCTGGACGTTCCAGCCAACTCCCACACCCATGATAGTCCCTATGAACATTTAAGTGGGAAAAAGTCACCACAATCATAACAGTGGCATACAAGGATATCGGGAGTGACCAGCAGGAACTGATACTAGAGAGCCCTCACTAGTATCAAATACCAACCTGTCTGGGTCCCTTCATCAATGTTACAATAATGCAACTCTAAATTAGACATGATGCAATGTTTGGATACCACTTATTATTTTATGGTATGGTTTTATTATACCACTTTTCCCAGCTAAGCATTGACTTTCATACTTATTATTAAGTACCTCCACATTCCATATTTTGGTGGGATGGTGTTTCCCAAATATCTACTTCCCTTCTTAATGGAGAAAATTTAGGGGTTGTCATTATTTAAAAAAATGTATTTTTTTCCCAAAGAGATAGTGATCATTATGTAAGACAATTCAATACTCTGTGTAACACCTTTATAAACTTGGACAGGGGCAACACAAATATCACAAACTTAATAAAAATATAATAAAATTGCAATAAAAGTGCCTCTATGTTCCTATGCTATGTATTTTTTGCATCCACTGAACCATACCCACACGGTTCCTAACATCAGGTATTTGATTTAGTACTAATTTTTAAACAGTAGCTCAACTTACCCGGACAAGTGCATCATCTATGATATGGTCACGTCTGACTTTGAGTCTCAAATATGGATTCAACTGCTGTCCTTGAACTAAGCTGTAGAGAACAGTGATTCTTCGTTCACTGTACATACGAATTCTATTGTCATAATATAATCCCAAATTCTTTGTGACAGCATTCAGTATAAAGGGACAGGTCATAAAAGAGAATTTGTTCTCTGTTTCCACTTTGAAAAAAGTATAATCTTTATCCATTTCTAGAACATCATTCAGTGGTTCATTAATAAACTCTTCAAAAGGGATAAGTGGTTTTCGACAATCTAGAGTTTTAACACCAAGTTCAGTTTCCAATGGGTCCACTCGGGGACCTTTCTTGTTTCTTCTTTCCTCTCCCAATAGCTCCTGAAGCGTCAATTCACTAGACTCGGGGATGGGTTCTTCATCATCTTCTTCATTATGATTTGTGTCCACTTCTCCTCCTACTACATTTGCATAGTAAACCATTTTCAAGCACTTTGAAGCAGCAACAATAGCATCATCATCATTCACTAGATTTCGACTGTTAAATTCATTGCTTATGACTTTGTAAGTAATAAGTTGCTGAAATGTTTCCATCATTCTCCGAATTTGGTCTGCATTATACTTAGACCAGAGTCTAACCAGTTTTCCTTGGGCTGCAAGCGGTAGCTTACTCATTGCTTTGCAAAATAATGGCAAAGCCATTTCCAGATATTCAGGACTGTGGAGATTTCTGTTCTCCATTACAATAATGAATAAATTCAGATAATTAGGATCTCGGGAGTATACGTTGTGATACGTCAAGTCACATTCCACATTAGGTGACAAATATACAAGTGCATTGAGAAAGGCAGTTTCTATTTTTTCATTCGAGAGCAACCTGGTGTAGACCCTCCTAATGGCCTCAATATCAACAGATACATCATCAGGGCCTAGTTTTTGTAAGTTGTTATCTCCTTGTGGGCTATCACTTATCCTTGAGGAAGATGCTTCTGAATCTTCTTCCATAGCAGCAGCAGAACATGCAGCTTTTTCCTTTTCATCTTCATCCTTGTCTTCATCCTTTCCTTGAAGAGATTTTAATTCTTCCTTAGTATGTTGCTTGACTTTCCGAAAGCTCTGTACCAATGCTTCAGCACTAGAAAAAACTCGTCCAATAACGCGGATTAAAGGGGAATAATCCTCTCTTTCTCTACATAATTCAAGAATTTCATACACCTTCTCTTCTGTTAGGTAGGTCACATCTAGAAAATTATGGGGAAAAAAGAGAACATTTATTTTCATAATACATGCATCATACATGCATTGAAACTTTGTTTCAATAAGTTCTAGTGAAAAGTAAAATAGCCTACCATTCTATTGTCAGTACCATTTATGACTCACAACCTAAAAAAAGTAGCTAATATTTAGCTCAACAAACAATAGCATGCTTACCTATTTTCTCAGTGGAGTGCGAGTAACAACAATCTCACCCATTCTTTTATATTCTTTCAATAGTACATAGCTTTTAATGAGCCTGAAACAGTTTAAGTTCTCTTCAAAATCATAGTATATATTAACATGCTACTTTAATTGTACAATGAACAAGCTACCATGCTGATTCATCACAATGCACCTCTTACAACCTTAGCGTAGAAAAACTACTATTCTGAGAAGTTTCTTCCCTGTGTCACCACTCTATTCCCAAATGACTAAGAAGGTGAGATTTTAAGAAATATTTTCCCAGCATCCTCTTTTGAAAATAGCTCTTGTCCTACCTCTGTATGCATTAAAAGCAAACTAATTCCTTTTGACTTCTCAGTTTTTTCCAGGGTGGTTATTCTGGAAATGAGTGTGTGACTGAGAAGAATATACCATTTCTCATAAGCTCTGAAGTTAACAGACACTGACTTATGTACCCAAGAGTCGTGTGGGAATACAATTTACAGAGTGACAGGAAATAGTTACTGAGCAGTAACAAATAGGATGAGAAAAACAGAACTTATGAGCAGACAAGTTAAAGAGACTACACTATGCATTCACCATGTTTCCTTTTCTTCCTGAGCTTAGAGTTGGGCTACATTTCCCAGTCTTTTCAGATAAGCACTACCTACTTTCAGGTCAAGATTTTTCTTCTCCTGGCTCATGGCATGATATTCCAGGATGGCTCTGGAAGCCACATGTTAAAGAACATGGCTGCATGACTATGCAAAGCAGAACTCTGCCAACCTAGAGTGTCTGGGCTATTAGAGAAGTCACAAATAAATTTCCACTGTGTCTTGTGAGTCAGCGATCTTTCTAGGATCTACTTAATATTATGGTCTTGATCATCCTTAATAGCACAGAAGTCTTTCACTTTTCCCCATCTAGTCTTCAGTATTTGAAATACTGGTAATGGCCATCTCGTTAAGTTAAGCTTATTCTAACTTCCTGATATATTTCTTCTAATACAAATTTTATAAGATAAACTGATATAGTATCATTATTTTTGCAGCGTATAGTATTTAAATCTAAGGGAGTTTTATTTTGTTTTCTTATTACTCCAATTACCCCTCATAAAGACACAATACCATAAGAGGCAAAAAAAGGAGAGGGGCAAAGAAAGGCCAGACCAAGAATATTTTCAAAGTTAACAAGTTAAAATTTTAATGAAATAAAAAAAAAAAAAAAAAAAAGAAAGGAAAGAAAATTTCAAGGAATCTCTGAAGCCAGGAAGCATTCCAGGGGTCAGAGTTTATAGCAGTTTTCTGAGATGCATCTTCCCTCTCAATCCATCTCTTATAGAATTCCTATCTTTGTTTTAATATATTTACTTCATAGTAGAAGACAATATAAATTTAAATTGATCACAGAATGAACAGCCTCCAAAAGCTGAACCACAAAAACATCAAATTTTTATCTCACTACAAGTCTGAGTTGTGGCCCCTGCTACCTGCAATGTTTCTTTTATGGGCCTTAAAACTCTTTAAATACTAATTCTCAGGTTTGTTCTCATAAAGATATATAGTCATCTTCTGCTAAACATCAGTGATTTCTTCCCCTAAAAAATGTGAAACTGCGCCCGCTGCTCCCCTCAGCAGTGTACTTCGGTCCTTCTGCCTGCTCTGCTCCCCGCTCTGGCTCTGGTGAATTCTCTCGCCCTCCCGCGCTTCTGACTGTACCCAGTGCATGTATAAACAAAAAACAAACAAACCAGAAAACAAATAAATAAAGCATGCCTCTATAAAAAAAAAAAAAAAAAAAAAAAAAAATGTGAAACTGCTCATGTGGAACTTAATTCCCATTATTTTAATTGGAAATTTAAAATTATAAAACTTCACACAAGACACAAAGCAAAACCCCCTTATCTAAGTTTCTATAATATAAGCAAAACACAGTACATATTTATTATTAATAACTATCCTGTTATGAAGTAAAACATGATGCTTCTTAATTGACAAATCATAAAGTTGTTAACCAAGAATGTGTAGTAACACAGACAGCCTCCTAACTGGCTGCACTCAGCTTTGCCAGCACATCCTACATTCAGTGCCTGTTGCCCTGTGGGGGTGACTGACTTGGGAAATGTGCATAATGGAGTCAATGTAATTTCCACATTATACATAATGACAATAGTCAGTATTTATCCAGTGTGTGAGCTAATTCATGTAACAGAACTATATTTTAAAGCAATAAAGTTGTGTAAAGTTATGAAAACAGTTTTACTGTGGAAATAAAGTAGAAACTATGACACAATTCCATTTCACTCATCCATTTAAACTTGATCCAATTGATGCTACTGAAAACTTTAGGGGTAATTCTCTAATTTATATATTCCTGAAACAAAAAACTTCTTTTAAAATATAATTACATCTGGTAGTGTGCCCTGTCAGTCATTCAGAAATATGATTATCTTTTTTACTAATACAGATTATCTTCACTGAGGGAAAGAAAAAGAATGAAAAAGTTTTAACAATTTTGGAATACTGAATCATTCAGAAAACAAAATAAGACCTAAAGTAAAGACTCCCAGAATGGCACATATTAAAAAAGCAGGTGACAACAATTGTTGGCGAGGATGTGGAGAAAAAGGAACTCTCCTATCCTGCTGGTGGGAATGCAAACTGGTCCAACCACTATGGAGAGCTGTGTGGAGGTTCAAACTACTAAAAATGGAGCTACTATATGACCTAGCAGTTCCAATCCTATGAATTTACCCAAAGGACACAAAAACATTAATTCAAAAAGATATCTGCACTCCTATGTTTATTGCAGCACTATTCACAATAGATAAGAGATAGAAACAAGCCAAATGCCCACAAAGAGATGACTGGATCAAAACAATGTGGTATATATACACAATGGAATATTATTCAGCAATCAAAAAAGATAAACTCATGCCATTCACAGCAACGTGGACAGAGCTTAAAGGTATCATGCTCAGTGAAATAAGCCAGAAGGAAAAAGAAAAATATCGAATGGTTTCACTTGTAGGAGGAATATAGGGGAACCAAATAAGGGATCAGGAAAAAAAAATAACCAACTAAGGGATCAGGAAAAACAAAACTAGCAGGCAACCATAAATAAGAGACATTCTGTGAGGGAGGGGGGAAATGGGATCAAAACAGGGAAGAGAAGAGCACAAGGGACTATGGTGATGGTTCACAGGTGAACTGGTGGTGGGAATTTTACGGAGACTACACAATGATGTAAAAGATAGAAATAAAAATAAATAAATTATTAAAAAAAATAAAGACTCCCATTAGCAAGCAAAAATTTGGCAGGAATGTCTCAAATACCTGGGGGAAGGTGAACAAGATATAGGAAGAATACACTAGAAAAAAACTGAATTTTTCTTATTATTAAACTTCGCCTTCCCTTCAGAAATTGCAAAGTCCACCATTTCTTTCCTCTGTCTGCTTCTTTTACCTATACATAGTGGCGCGGTTCCTTATCCCAGGTGTTTAGTCAGATATTCTATAACTTAAGTACACTTTACGACCTAGTTTAGGAGATTAACTATCACTTAATACATTTTTCTTAGTGGAAAATGTTTACAAGTTCCAATCAATCCATTGAGAAAGGAGCTTTGGAGTATAATCTGCTTCTAATTAGAGGACACTGAAATAGCACGATGCAGTTAAGTCATTAACTCAATTATTGGTATGTTTTTTACCCCCCCCCAACACACAATGCTTCCACTACTTAACATGTCCTAATAGCACATAATTAGGCAAAAACAAAAACAAACAAAAACTCACACATTATTCATCTCCAGTATAGTTCCCAGTCAAAAATTCTCCATTAATAATAGAATATCTTACCTTTAAAATCATCTCTAGGTCCATCCTTCTTGTTCATTTTTATCTCAGAGCAGTTGTTAGAGGCACCTTTTGAGTTTTCAAGGTAAGCTGAGCTTGCTCCTTTCTTGGAGGGATGAGGATCACAGAGTTTTGCATTAATCTTATAAAGCTCGAGGGCTTTAATAGCTGCTGCATTGTTATCCATACGAAGAAAACTTGGACAGGAAGCACAAAACTCATTCGTGCAGGCCTCATTTCCACAGCCCTCAGTTAACTGGTGGTAGTAGCGTTCTATTAGATGCTTTGCAGCTGCTCGCTTCCTGTACCAAACATTCAAACAATAAGCATAGTGATTAGTACAGCTTTCAGATACAAAGCTCAACAGACCATCAGCAAGGCAAAAGTTAGTCAAGCATTGAAATCATAAACTTCCATATTAAGATGAAATGTACAACATGGAGCTCCACAATGTTTACAAATACTTGTGTACTGGTGAAATATTTGATAGTATCCCAAGATACTATGATAAAGACTGTCAATGCTTATCAAAATCATTAATCTAATAGCAGATGCTTTCCTTTGATTTAAAAAAAAGACAGGGAAAGATTATTTGATGATATATGTGCTTAATTTCTTTAGAACAGCTGAAAAACACAAGAGTTACTGGGTAAAAGTTATTTAAAAGTTAATAAAATGAATGTCTATTTAATCCACCTTTCCTTTATGTTATCACTATGCTATTTCAACTGTTTGTAAATACTTGATGTATAATTATCATAGAACTTCCCTCTATTTTTTTCAATTATCTTACCTATCTACTCAATTATCAATTACCTACTTAGTAGATCAACTAATTTATTAAAGTATTCAATTGTCTAATTATCTATTAAATCTAGAGGAATTTAAAATGAACTTCTAAATGAAGTATCAAAAGCTTGTACAAAAGAGTGGTTCAAAGCATACAATCATGTCTCCAAAATGTGTCATTAAATCTCCTCACTGATCCAATGTCATAGGAACATAGAATATTTTAAGTCCTATGAGGGCAAGTTTGTAGATTAATGATTCTTATGCCTGTTCCAGCAGAACTATCAATATCCCAAGGAAGGACTTGTCTCATCAAGCAAGAAAGAGACTATATTAATCTATCTGTATTATTCAATTCTAAGATACATGCTTCTATCAAAATACCTAATATGAAATGACCATAATTTAAGTAGTGTACTGAAAGTCAAAGAAACATAATTCAAATCTACTCCTTTTGATGTCAAATTCACATACAGGGATATAAAAACTACAAATATTAAATAATATTTAGAAAATTTACCTAATTTAATTTTCAAAATGTTCCAACAATAATCTTACTAGTAATAATTATACCTACTAAAAATGTAGAAGTAAGGACAAATGACATTACAGTTTACAACTTGTTAATCATGAGCTAATACTTGTTAATTATGAGAAACTAAACAACAAAAATAAGTGGTGAAGGACAAAGTTCAGTTTTGTTTCAAAAGCAGGTCTTTCTCTCAATTTATCAAGGTATTCAACTCATTCTGGTGCTTCTATTTTTCAAATGTTTCATGAAAATTTACCACCTATTGCATGCAAACAGAAAAAAGAACCTCCTCACCCCCAAATAGCCCATACTTAAAAACTACCTGAATATGACTTAAGATAAAATATTTTACTATAGGAAGCTGAAAACAACCCCACTTTTGAAATTACTATATCAGATATCTCACTAAGCAAATTATTAAAATGCTAATATATAGAGAATAAAATATAAAAAACGAACAAAAAATAGAATACAACTTACTAACTCTGTTGAGATGTCAGCTCTTTTAATAGGTACATTTCCCAAGTAAACTATGATTTTGAGAAAAAGTCATCTTTTAAATGCAAAATATGATTCACATACAAAAAAGAAATAAGGAAGAATTGAGATTCAACCACAAGTTGCTATTCTTCAGTCAAGAGCGGGAGGTTAATGACATCTTCTCCCAAACTGTAGTAACTTTTCCTAGTGAGAATGTAAATATGTATCTCCTTTCTGGAGGAAAATTATGAACATGAACAAGTCTTAAAAATGAATCAGAGAATGTAGCATATGAATCAGAGGTCCTACTTTTGGACACTACCTAGATGATTTTGCAAAAAAGTGCTATTTCTATGAAATCTGGGAAAAAAAAACTATCATGGTCAAGAACAGGGAATTACTTAAATGAACTGATAACAATTTACTCAAAGGAATAAATAAAAATGATCAAGATCAGAATTTGGCAAGAAAGAGTCTTCCTCATATATCACTAGCTGACAAGAATTAGTTACAAAGTACTAAGAGTAAAATAGCATAAAGTAATTTTTACTTCAAAATATTTACAGTTCATTTTCTTTAATGTGGATAAATGGGTTTTAAAAGTCTTCCTTTTGCTTCTAATCTATTTTTTTATATTAAACATGTGACTTATATATTAAAAGTTAACAAATATGAATGGGGAAAATCTTAATAATTTTAAAACTTTATATACATGATTTGCATGTCCTCAAAATTTTCTAAATTATCCCTATTTTTTAGATTATCAAAAATAAAAAAAGCAAAATACTCTGTTTTTCTTAATAAGAATATCAGATTTTGTTCCTTAAACAAGCAAAAGAAATCCCATTTATACACATAAATGCCTCTATCTAATGCAAAAAGGAGGGTGAACAGTAAGAAATAGGACAAGACTGAGACATCCGAAGACTCGCAACAAGTGACAGCTCCTTCAAGGCTTTTAAGTAGCTAAATGAGCCTGACAAATAACAGTTTAGGCCTAATTTTCCCATCTGCAAGATTCCTTTTAGTTCTAAATTTTAGATTACTCTACGTAGAGTAGGGAGGTGGGCAAAGAACTTGCATTTGTTGAATGTCTGATAATATACTAAATATATTGCTAAGTGTCTAACATAGATTATCTCATTTGAACACCATGACTTTAAGGATTATCTTCAGTCCACAGTCAAGAGAGAACTGAGAGTCAAATCATGTACCCCAGAAGGTGCAAAGGAAGTGTAAAACAAGGACCAGCAAAGGAATCTGTCTAAGGGTCTTCTGCCTCCAAGTAATTTCCACTATACTGTCTTACAGAAGTTGATTTGTTCCAATATAATCATTAACATTAGTAGTATTAAAAACATTTATGGAAAAAAATCCCATAAATAATATATAATTGAAAAAAGTAAAAAACTTCAAAAATTATAATTTGAATCTCATATTTATGCATGATATTTAGTATCGAACAAGCCCACTATGTTTCTTTAAGAACAGTTACCATTATAATTTGTAAAATTAATATATAATTTGTGGAAGACCGCATGTGCTATGCACTTTAGAAGACAGTAGATCCTAACAGGTAAGGCTTACACTGAGGTCAAACTACCCAAGTTCCCATGCTGACTCTGCTACTTATTGACCATGTTACCTTGAGTTACTTAATCTTCCTGTTTCTCAGTTTCCTCATCTTTAAAATGGCATAGCATACGTGAGGATTATTATGGCGGTGAGAGAATGAAATGAGCTGATATGTATAAAGTGCTTAGAACACTGCCCGGCACCCAACAAGCACCAGATAAGTGTTACCACATTAATGTTGTTGGGACAGTTATCACCTCAAAAGTCTATGAATGAGCTATAATAACCCTTATTCTGCTGATGCTCAAAACAATTACATTAACAAGTCATTCTATGATAAGGAAGATTTGAACCCCGGCTTGACTCCAAATAGTGGGCTTTTAGTAACACTAACAGGAGACTTAATAACCATTGGGGAGATGAGGCCCCTCTTTCTGATGTGCTTCTCTATCCCAATACTTGGAAATAGCAGCTACACCGACCAGACAGGAGGGAAGTGAGGCTGTTCTAGAACATCTACATACTTGATACTATCACCTATGTTAAGCATTTTTCGTCTTTCCTCATTTTTGAGTTTTCAGCATGCAATTCTGTGTTCCATCTAATTTAGAGCATACTAAAAATCTCTAAATTGGGAATATGTACACTAATAATGACTTTTTAGTAAATAACTTCTGTAAGGTTAATCTCTATACATTAGGAGTCACTAAATCATAGATTGTGGGCCAAATCTATAGCTGTTTGTATAGCCCTTAAAGACGTTTACAATATTGAGTAGTTGGCAATAACAGGGGGAAAAAAAATTTGTGTTATGTAAAAATTAAATGAAATTCATATTTCTGCAAATGGCCAACGGGCATATGAAAAAATGTTCAATATCCCTTATAATCAGGGAAATGCAAATCAAACCACACTGAGATACCACCTTACAACAGTTAGAATGGCACATACCAAAAAAACAAGCAACAACAAATGTTGGCGAGGATGTGTAAAAAAGGAACTCTCCTACATTGCTGGTGGGAGTGCAAACTGGTCCAACCACTATGGAAAGCTGTCTGGAGGTTCCTTAGTCTACTGAAAATGGAGCTATCATATGATCCAGCAATTCCACTCCTAGGGATCTACCCAAAGGACACAAAAACATTGATTCAAAAGACCACCTGTACCCCTATGTTTATTGTAGCACTATTCACAATAGGTAAAACCAAATGCCCCAAAACAGATGACTAGATCAAGAAGATGTGGTATATGTACACAATGGAATATTATTCAGCAATCAAAAAAGATAATGCATGCCATTTGCAGCAACATGGATGGAGCTATAAGGAATTATGCTCAGTGAAATAAGCCAGAAAAAGAAAAATAACGGATGGTTTCACTTATAGCAGGAATATAGGAGAAGCAAATAAGACATCAGTGTAAAAAAAAAAATAATAGTACAAAACACAACAAAGCAAAAACAGACAATTACAAATCAGAGACATTCTACAAGGGAGGAGGCGGGAGAGGGATCAGCGGGAAGGAGAGAGGAATACAAGGGACTGAAGTGATGGTGCACAGGTGCATTGGTGAAGGAAACTCTGTGGGGACTGAACATGAGTGGGTGAGAGGAAGCAAACAGTTTAAAAATCAACAGTGATGTAAAAAAAAATTAATTTTAAAAAAAGAAAAAAAAGAAATTCAAATTTCAAAATCATAAGGTCTTGTTAGAACATAGCCAAGCTCATTCATTTATATACTATCTACAGCTGTTTTTGCACTGTAACAGTAGAGCTGAGTAGTTTTAAGATACTATGTGCCTGCAAAACCTAAAATAAATACCATCTAGCTCCTTACAGAAAGTTCTCTAAGCCTTAATTTAGAGCCTGTGCTGTCTCTGCCCTCCAGTGATACTTCCATGTAATCACATGGCCTCTTCCCACTTCC